TCTTTTTGACAATTACAACATTTGACATCCAGGTTGAATACCGGGCTTCAAAAATAAAATTTGCCTATGGGAGGTCTTTTACATCTTTTTCAGCAGCCTCCGTTTTCTCGGGGGACTGCCTACGCCTACGTTGTACTACTGCTCTAGCGGCTGGATCAATGGCCAGTTGGTGATAGGCAACCTCGGGGTCGAGACCGGGCATCTCTGCAGCACTCCACGCGAACAGGTCCGCATTCTCCCTCAAGCAAGCCTTGATCTGCTTATTCGCCAAGTCGGGGAGTCTGATGCCGATCTTTACGCCTTTGTGAGGGTCTTCACCGAGGGGGGCGAGCTCGAAGTCTCCATCCGGGATTGTTCAGAGGAGTCCCCGGTCGCTGTTGGGCGCTTCATCTTGGTCGAAGCGGGTGTCCAATGAAATCGAGTTAACCTTTGGAGGGGCTCTCTGCTCTTCTGCCTTGATGGGTTGTGGCTCTGGTCGTGTCGTTGCAGCTTTCTTGTGGGGTCGTGCCTCAGTATCGACCGTGCTCTGTCCCTTTGCCGATGCGTTGAAGCATCTTCATGCAGCTACTAGATCACCCTGGATGGTGGCGACGCATCCTGTCCGTGTGTAGAACTTCATCTTCAGATGGACGATGGAGGGAACAACGGTCAATTCAGCCAGTGTCGGTCTCCCCAAGATACCGTTGTAGAGAGATGGATAGTCGATGACCACAAACCACACCTTGACTTGTCTGGTGGCAGTATCCTCGCCAAAGTTGACGAAGAGTTACACATACCCTCATGGTTTGAAGGTGGAGCCGTTGAAGCCCTGCAGGTTGGACCCCACATATGGTGACATATGAGAGTCGTCGAGCTACAGGGTTCAGAAGAGTTGGCTATACATCACGTCGACGGAACTCCCTTCGTCGACCAGAAAGCGATGAACTCCAAAGTTGGCCATCCTCGCCCTGATCAAAAGAGGGATGACTGAGTTAGGGGCCCCTCCAGGCAATTCTTCGAGGTAGAAGTTAATCGGCTTCGATGTGCCCTTAACTCTCTCAAACGTCATTGTTTGTGTGTGTGTGGGGGGGGGGGGGGGGGGGTGGCGTCGACCAACTCGTCCAATTTCCTATTCACGGAATTTATAGTTATGTCATTAAACTATCCACCATTTATGACCATGGCGGAGGGGAAGCTTTTCCACCTGCTGTGCATGGACAACGGCTTTTCCATATGTTCGGGGACGTAGAAGTCCTCCGATCTCGTAACAGAGAATACAGTCTGGATGGGGACCGACTCGTCAGATGGTATGACATCCTCCTCGATCTCTTTTGTTTCGCGAGCATACGGGGGGCATCGCCGCGCCAATATTGTCGGAGTCTTCCCCCTTTTATGAGGGTCTCAATAACATCCTTGAGATGGACATAATCTTCAGTCAAGTGTCCATGACTTCGATGATATTGGCAGTATTTGCTCTAATATGCCTCAGGCTTAGCAGGAGCGGAGCGAGGACCCTTGACGCTGCCGTTCTTGAAATTTGTGTTCACACACTCCGCCAAAATGCGCTCGCGGGAAGCTGTCAGCGAAGTGTACTCGGTAAAGCACCCCGAGGGTTCTCTCTGCTTGCGAGGATCCCGTGGCTTGTCATCTCTCCTCTTCTCGCTTGTTCATCGAGGAGGTCTCGAATCTTGTTGTCGCGGATTACTGGTTGATCCATGATTTCTTGGGTCTCGGGCTCTACTGGTCGCTTCCCTCTCCTCGTAATCCATATAAGCCCGAGCTTTCTTGAGGAGGGCATCGAATGTCTGTGGTGGTTCGATGCCAACGACTTTTCTAAACTCTGTGCCCGGGAGGAGTCCTCTCTCGAGCAAGTGTATCTTTTCATATGATCGGTACAGGGGACCTGGATGGCCTCCCGGTTAAATCGATCAATAAATTCCCTAAGAGTCTCGTCGTGCCTCTGGATGATAGCCTCGAGGGCAGCTTCAGTCTTTGGGTGGCGACGTGAAGCAGTATATGAACTGATGAATTGATTTTTTAAATTTTTCCAGGAGGTGATTGACCCAGGGACGAGACTCTTGTACTAATCCATTGCAGCTTTCCTCAAAGTCGTGGGGAACAACTGACATTTGATTGGTCCCCCGATGTTATGATAATGCAGCATTGCCTCAAACCCGTCGATATGGTCGATCGGGTCAACAATGTCGCCGTACTCCTTCAGATGGGGAGGCTTCTCCATGCCCGGGGGGATGAGGGCCTCCATAATAGCTTGTGACAAGGGACCGTGGGGGGCATCTTCGTCACTTCTGTCTGGCGAGCGAGAATGAGACCTATTGTAGGGGCGGTTGTGATGACCTTAGTCGCGAGAAGGGTTCCTCGGACGATGTGGTCGTTCAATGTTCCCCCCATTCCTGTTTCCAGGGGGTCGTTTCTCTTGACGTGGGGGAACGTAATCACATCTCCCCGTATCCATGGGCTGATCCCTCTCTAACGCAGGCCGCCCGATTGGTCGAGGAAATGGGCTTCCAGAGGCTCCCCATCTGCGTCTCCACGGGGGAGATTGCGAACGAACCTCTGTCTGTCGAGGAGGAGAGTCGGGCCTCCTATGTCTTCTAGCGGCTCTCCGAGATTCTTCGAGCACCCTTAATCTCTCCCCTTGAGTGAAGATGAGGTAATTAGTTTGGTTTATCGCCGCGAACAATGCCTTGGTCGTGGCATCTGCTCCGGCGGGGATGGGTACCTCCTGGAACTGGTTTGGTTGGTAGTTCAGAGGAGGAGGCCGATCGTCTTCAAGCTGTCGAGATAGTGATGATGACGAGGCAGTTGCTCCGTCTCTATAGTCTGAAGGGCCAAGCATATTAATGGTGGGGGCATGTTATGGCCAGCAGTACCAGTGTTGTTGATGCCGACATTATTGTTGGTGACATTGTTGTTGACGTTGGTGATGCAGACATTCATGTTGTTTTATGCTATTTGATCAACCATGACTGTCAGAAAAGAGTGATTTAGCTTTGGTCTTGTGTGAATGGAAGACGGGGAAGCAAGTTTCCCACAGACGGCGCCGCTGATCGTACCTGATCAGAATCGACCGTCACAACTTCACCGAGCAGAATTTGAGTGAGGTGGGGGAGGGGGGGGGGTACTTGCAAGACACTTTAATGCCAAAGTAAGTTGCAGAATTATCAAGCAAGCGTGAGAGTAAGAAAGTGTTGAATACCTGACCCTCTCGAAAGAGAGGGTATTTATAGCCCCCAACACTGGGCCAAGGTCACCACATTGGGCTGGTCAAGCAGGCCCAACATAGAGACTGCCAGGTCCTATGTGAGTAGTGGGGACCCGCATGTGGTTCCCTACCTGGATGACGTCCTCCGCAAGGCCAAGAGGATATGGATGCGATCTTTCTGGGGCCACAAAGACTCCGTGATATCGGGAGACGTTGGGAGTCAGCCCTACGAGGAGGATGCTCGCGAGGAGCATCTGCCCGTCGTGGGTGATCCCCGCTATACGCGAGGTTGAGTGAGGGGATCAGTCTTGGTCGACGAGCTAGTCGGGGTGTCCTCGGAGCCATCATGGTTGAAGGTGACCGTCCTTAGTCTACTCGGGGCGTTGTCTCCGCGTGGTGAGGTTGTCTCCTCGTGGGGAAAAAGTGGTAGTTGCCCGCCTCATTCGAGGATAGAACCAATCAATGGTGCAAGTTGACACACTTGGATTGGGCCTCACTGGGAGTTAAACCAAGGGCAGACCCAGTCCATAACAGGTTCAATTGTGATGAAATCTCTATTGAACCTTATTTAAAAAAAGTCATGTATAAAGATATCACAAATTTATATTATTATTTTATTTTAGATTAGTGATTTAACACAAAATTTTGTCAATAACAAATTTAATTAAAAGGAGGAAAAGTTGTTCCAATAAATTTTGAACAAAATTAATTGATATTTTAATTTCAATTTTTTCAAAAAATTATAAAAAAACATCGTTTTGCCTGAAGAAAAAAGAAAGTATTTAACCTACCAATTTTATAATTATCATTTTTTCCGGTTTTGATCGATTTTACCGGTTCAATAGTTTATCTATACAATTAGGTATGACAACAAAAACCATATATGTGGCTATCCACCCGAACCTGTCCCAAAATTGACCGAGAAAACCCATTTTGATTGGGCTTGAGTTCGAGTTTGAATTTTCTTTGATTAAAAAATATGGGGACATGTCGAGTAATGGAGACACTAGTACCCACCCTAAACTCACCCTGTTTATTTCATTATATATATTATTATTTATTTTTTATAAATCAGAATATTAAATATGTAGTCAATGTTTCGATAATTTGATATGTATTTATTATTTAAAATATTTGAATTTTTTTGAGATTATATTTATTTTATTATTTATAATGTAATTTGATTTTAGAAAAAATAAATATTTTTATTAAAAAATTGGTTTTAGTAAATGGATGATAGCTGAGTATATGCGGGGATATTCGAATCTAATCTAAATTTGTTTGAATTTTAATTCTCTATCCCATTTGAGTTTGAAATGGAGAATATAAATTGGTTGGAGATTCAAATTTGAGTTTGGAGAGGTAAAAAATATTCTGGTCCCACCCTATTTTGATACCTACATCCAACAATCAAATGAGATATGTGACCATAAAAAAAAAAGGAAAAATATTGAATTGGGCCAAACCCAAGTAGTGAGCGAAACGGAGCAGGGCAATATGATACACAGTACACACACGCACGCCTAAAACCTAAATCGTGAAATCCACACAAATGTATCAAGTTGCTTCGTGACCGTTCTTGATTCTCCTGCATTCTTGACTTGGTGTTTCTCCTGCTCCCTTCGGCTGTTCCACTTCCAGGTTAGTGTAACTTCGATTTTGTCACTCCACTGTAATTTTCAACTTGCTCTTGATTTACGTCTCACACCTCTAATTGGCACCATCCACAACACGTAAAGCCCTAACACACTCCATAGCATCTTCAAACCACGCAAAAACAATTTTTCATATTCACACCATGTCCAATAATCACAACACCCCCTCCAACCCTAAACCTCCACCCAATTTCCCGAACCCTCCAAACAACCACCATTCCCAAATGGGTGTTCCTGGAAACTATCAAAATCAAAACTTGATGCAACCCTTTATGCCAAACATGCAACAACAACCACCCCAATATATCAATGCCCCAAATCAGCAACAACAGCCACCCCAATATATCAATGCCCCAAATCAGTTACATATGCCTCCTCATATGGCTGCTTTAGGTTTTGCTCCTCAAATGTTTCCTCTTCACGGACAAGGACAATTACCTCAAATGAATTTGTCTCCAATTCAAGGACAAATTTTGGCTCAAAATATTGTGAATTTGCTTCAGCAACCTAATATGAACATGAATATGAGTATGCCAAATGGTGGTCAATTTTCTGCACCTTATCCAATGCAGAATATGAATCAACAGCTACCTATGCAAATGCACAGACCAAACCCTTCTCAAGCTGTTCCATATGGTATGCATCCTGGTCAACAACAACAACCTATGTATGGGTTTCCTCAGAATCCAATGTTTTCTGGAAATTCTCAGTTTCGTGGTGTTGTTCCTGGAAATTCTCAAGTTAGGCCACAGATTGGCCCGAATCTGGGAGGCGGGAACTCGAATGGTTTTGTATCGGGTCCTTTTCCGCCTCAGCAGTTACAAGGGAATAGTTCTGTGCCACATAATGCAAGCAATGCTCAAAGTTCTGCATTTAGGAATTCACATTCACAGGTATTTTGAATCCTATGCAGTAATCCATCTTGCACTCTCTCAAGGACGGTCCTGACTATAGCAGGGCCTTAGTACTAGTGTAGTGAAATTTGAAGTTGAACAAACTTCTACTTTCTGCGATCAGCGATTGACGACATTGTTTTAATGTGTATTAGTATCATGTTTGTCAATTTGCTACCTATAACTATAAAAGGATTTAATTTAATGCAAATCTGAATTGCTGCTGCAGGAAAATCCTAGTAGCAGTATCAACACTAGTTTTGCAAACTCTAACTGGAAACGATCGCCAAACAATAACTTCAAAAACAAACAAAATAGAGGGGGATCTCAGGGAGGGTATGTTATTTTCTTCTCTTTTATATCTTGTGGTTTATTGCGATGATAATTTGATAACTTACATAGTTTTCCTTTGATTTGGAATCACTGTCTAATTCATGTAGGTTCCAAAAGTCTAAATTTCGCGATAGCAACAAAGGAAACAGGAGAGCAGGGTTTTCAAAAAATCGTAAGGGTAGAGGTTTGAACTATGCTACTTCGTATTCGTAACGAGATGAAAACAATTTTTTTGCTGTTAGACTAATGCTTGTGAAAAAATAACAGGCCCCAACAATGAGAGAGCGGGAGCTTTTGGTTTAAATTCCGAGGAACATCAGCAGCAACCAAAAAGGTAGCTTTAACATTGCTTGAATTTCCAATTACATCTTACCGATCTTTTACTTCCCATCATTGCCTCTCACTCACCAATCTTCCACCAAAATCAAATTTTCATCACTTCTATAAGTTACACGGTGCAAAAGTTTCGTTAATTGGTTCACAAGTACCAATTCACAGGTGGGAGAAGTGCATTATGTTTCACTAGTTCACAAGTTTCACGATTTTGGTTCTGAACTTAAATTTTAAATAACCATCTAAATGGAACATAAATCTCGTTTGCAGTGCTGATTTTAGTAATCGTGTATTATTTATCAGGTTTTAGTTCGATCTTTGCACCGATAATATCGTAGCACTTACACACTTATTTTTCTTCTAATCATTAGATCATTTTCTACGAATTATTCTGAGCAAGAAGTTCTACGATGGCGTGAAGCACGGAGAAAGAATCACCCTTCCAGAGAAAAAAATGAGAAGGTTTCAAACAATATACTCTATCTGTCTGTTTATTAAAATGCTATTATCTGTAATAAAAAAATAACTGAATTACTACTTGCAGATGCCGAGTGAACAATCGAACGACTCCAAGTGCATTGATCGAGAGGTTCTACAAAGAGAGGTATACTCATTGAACAAATTGTTATTGTTCTGCGATACGCTAGTTAGTTCAAAATGTTGTCAGGTAGCCGCTATAGCATTATTGCACAAGAAAACTTGAACAAACGGAAGTCGACAACACTGCATAGTATTGCAAATCTCGAACTTAGCGTATATTTTTGTCATTGCAGCTCAAAGAGGTTTTAGCAAAGCAAGCTGAGTTGGGAGTTGAAGTTGCCGAAATACCTTCATACTATCTGAAGAATGCTGCAAATCAAGGCCTTGAGAGTGAAGAGAATACCAACAAAAGAAAATTCAAGAACAAGGGAAGAAAGAATCCGGATAAAAAACGTCGGAACGGCAAGAAGCAGAAGCTGGCTGACAAGAATTTCTCAGAAAACAAAAAGAAGCCAAGTTTATTACAGAAACTCTTGATTGCAGATATAAAGAGGGATCAGAGCTACCTGTTTCAGGTATTCAGGTTCATGAAAGCGAATTCGTTCTTGAAAGATTATCCTGATAAGCCTCTGGTATATCCATCGGTTTCGGTGAAAGAAATGGGGGGTGAAGTTTATGATGGAGGAAAAGATGTTGTTGAAGATGGTACCAAGGGAGTAGTTGAAACATTTGTAAAGGGTAGTGGTAATGAAGTTAAAGAAAGTGATGATGATGGTGATAATGGAGATGGAATGGTTGAGTTTGAGGAAGAGGAGGGGGAGATTTTAGAGTGAAGTTTGAAGTTTTGTTTTTTGTTGTTGTTTTAAGAAAGGTTTTGAATAGGTATAAACTAAACTATGCTCTGCAAAATATAAGTTTTGTTGGTTAACTGGAACTTGCTCTACTAACTTTACTTCTTAACTAACTCCAAATCATTAGGACTCTTTGTTCGGATAAACTTAATAGTTAAAATAAAAACCAAATTAGTTATATAAATCTAATTAACTTGATTCATATATAATACACTATAGTTGCTGTTAACATAATTTGAATATCGTTTACATAATGGAAATGACATACTCCATACTGTATTTACTTGATGTAGCTCTTGGAAATCACATACTCCATACTTTTTTTACTTGAGGTAGCTCTTAAACTATTCGCTATGAATCTTGCGAATGAACCCTACAATCTAATTTTGAAAACAATAAAAATAATTTAACCATATTATCCATTTGATTTGATGATAGTAATATCTTATACATTTTTACTAAAGGAAAAATAACAACAGCATACATTCTTGTACAAATAAAAATTTAATCAATTTTTTATTTAAATACTCCCGCTTTATGTTAGAAGATACTAAAAACACATAACATGATTCTCGCATGGGAACGTTAGAGTAATTTTCCACAACTCTCCACTATTAGATTTAATAAGTGTATTATATGTTAACACATTCAAATTTAATATATTAAATTAAATTAAATTAAATTTATAGTGTACAAGAAGAAACAACATTTCACTTTTTCAACGTAATTGTGTCTTCTTCTTTTTCATATTGATCTTCACCATCAACATCTCCGGTGAGCACTGCCATTGTCATTATACTCACTATTGATCATTATCATTGCTGTCAAATATTGTCGTTGCCAACGCAGCCACACTCATTGTTGATTGTCGTTGCCTAATTATTTTCATCATTATTGTCGTCAACGTCGCCACACTCATTATTGATCATCGTCGTTGTTGTCAATCGTTCAGCATTATCGCTACCACATTCATTATTGATTGTCGTTGCCGTCAATCGTCGTCATTGCCACACTTTGCTTTCTCCTACTCTTATTAAGGTTGTTATATTTTCTATTTTATGTCAAATAGTTAGCTTTATTTGTTGTGGTAGTTCTCTATTTTGTGTTATCTATTTATTTTTCTTCAAGGAAGTCATGGTAGTTGTTCCATTACTTTCTTGTGTTTAGACTCTGTTTTCTTAACGAGAAACTATAAAACATGATTGTGTTATATGTAAGATTAAATATACCGTTACAAATATAATTGACAAATATGCTAATAAATTATTTTATTATTTTATCATGTTTCTTTATTTTAAAAAATGGCATCTTAAAATATTGATCATAAGTCAATGATTGGTATGAAATTTGATTCATATGAGGAAGCTTATCAATTTTCGCGCACTTATGGTGAAAATATAGGCTTTGGTGTTAGAAAACGTTATGTGAACAAGAATAAAAAAGATGGATCTATATCATCGTGTAGGTTTGTTTGCTGCAAGAAAAGACTACGAAAGATAGACAAGAGAGATACTTTTGTTAGAAACCATAAAGCCGAAACTAGAACGGATTGCAAAGTAAGAATTTCTATTGTATTGAAGAATGAAAAGTTTGTCATCCATGAATTTGTATCAGATCATAATCACCCTTTGCATCTACTAGAGACAACACACATGCTAGCATCACATAGAAAGATATCTGAAGTTCAAGCATATATAATTGATTTAGCTGATGACTCAGGATTAAGACAAAACTCAACTTTTTAACTTATGACCACACATGCAGTGCATAGTTCTAATCTTGGATATACACATGTTGATATAAAAAACTATCTTAATACAAGAAGACAGAGAAGTATGGTGTATGGCGACGCGGGATGTCTTTCACAATACTTTCAACGACAATTGTTAGAAAACCCATCGTTCTTCCATGCATACCAAATGGATATAGAAGTGAAGGGTGTGAAGTTTATTCCTGAGAAGTATATTTTAAGAAGGTGGACAAGAGATGTTCGTCGTGGCATTGTGCAAGGTTCTAGGGTGTGATACGGTGGGAGAACTGAATTGGTTGTTTTGCATTTTATTACAAATATTGCGGTTTAGCAAGAGTCGACACCGACTTTTCTTTTATCCAAAAGGAAAGACTGAAAAGAACAGGAAAGACCTTTAGAGATGTTTTCTTGAGTTCGGGGGGTAGATTATGAAAAGGGAAGGTATTAACACCCTTTTCATCCGTAATTATCTATGATCTCTTAGTTGTTTGCTAGATCACTTGCTTTTGTTTGAAAATGTGCTTTGTGTGGTTTTTGAAAGTATTTTGAAAAGGCACCATCGTTTAGGAAAACTTTGTAATAATTCTCGTTCGTAAGAATGTATACAAAGTGTTGATCTTTTGAAAAAGTTTCAAGTTTGAAAGATGTTTTGAAAGTGTTAGTGTTTGTTTTTGAAAATAGCAAGGATGTTTTGGTTTGAAAGTGAGCAAGCAACTAGGAACGTTCTACCTACTCAAAAGTCTTAGTTCATTTCTTCATTTCCTTTGATATTGTTATCTTACCATTGATTTGGTAAGAAGCCTTATCTTTGTATGTAAAGGGACGGACATGGGTCATCGTATAGCCATGATAGCAATGTTGTGAAAATATCTTAGTAATTCTCTTTGAGGGACTGAGATCATTTTTGAAATACAACTTTGGATAGCGTCATCGATGGACTATGATCTTGTATTTTGGATTGCTTTTGCTAAGATACTTCACATGCATAACATGGTCATTTTTGTAAGGCAACGAAGTGAATTTACCCTAAGGGTGTAAGTGTGCAAGTGTGTTTATTTATATGCATTGTTTTGTCTTGAATTAGGGTTTGCTAACTTGTTGATTTTAATCTTTTCATACAAACCCCAATTTACTAGCATTTATATATAAAGCATTAAATTGCGAAAAATAAAAATACTAAGTTATTACATCAATAGGGGAGGGGGTGTACAAATTTACAAATGGGGATTTTGCAAGAAAAATAAATCTAATTAACTATTACAACCATATTGAATATTGTACAAAATTGAAAATAAAATGCATGAATATAAATAAAAAAGAAATGATTTTTGTTTGGTTTTTAAGGATTTTAACCTAATGTCTAAGAAGGAAAAATAATTAATTAAATATAATAATGTTAAACCTAAATTAGTTAAGAAAAAAAAAACAGGTTTAAAAGTATTTTTTTTAGGAGTTTTTATATGAAAGGTTTTAAGAATAATATAAAAATACATAAAAATTAATTAATTAAAATAAACGTAAGTTCTAAATTAATTTTAATTTACAAGAAAATAATATAATAAATAAACCTAAGTCTAAATATTTAAAAAAAATTGAATTGTTAAGAAAATTGTTTTTTGTTCTTTTTAGTTTTTATAAAGAAAAATAAAATATGAGTGCAAAAATAATAAAATAAATATTTTTGGATTTTATTATTAATAATAATAATAAAAACTAATATTAGTAATAAAAATAATAACAAGAAAATATGAAAGTAAAATAAAAATAAAAATGAAAATGAAATAAGAAATTAAAATGGGACAGGGGGTATGAAACATAATTAGGGGGGAAAGTCAGCAAAAATTTGAAAGCCCAATGTTTGGGGCCCAGGCGCTGCAAACAAAAACCAAAAAAGAGTAAAAATGTAAAAAATAAACAAAAGGCAGTGCGCTGGGTGTTGAACCCACGCCCTCTTGGTTACCAGTATGTTGCCTTACCACTGGGGTGGCTATACATCTGTTTATTAAAATAAAATAATAAATACATAACACATAATACTTCCAAGGCATGTACTTCGTCTTCAACCTTCAGCAAGCCAAAACACTTGTAACTTGTTCTTCTCTCAACAAAAATGGAAAATACAAACATGAAAGTTGTGGCATTTCTTCCCACGAATCCAACCATATAAATAACTAAAGCTATAAATCCAAGATGAGTGAGAATTTTTCTAGCCCTAATTTAAAACCTAAATATTTCAGAAACTTCAACTCCAAAATTCTCTAAGCTCAGACCATATAAATGCAAACTATGGACATGTACAACTTCGTGGCAATGGTATCTACATTTTATCTTTGAAAATGGAAGCCTAACAATGCCTATATGAATAGTTCAAAAGTCAGAAAACTCACCTTGCAAGAGGGTATCGTGCTTTGAGTTGGAGCAACTTTCAATGAGTTCTAGTGATTGGGTTAGCTTCCTCAAGTTCCCAGGAAGCTAATGTGATGCTTGACTTGAGCTGAAAGTGGCTGAGGAGTTCTGGAAAAGTCAAGTTGCAGACCCCTGTTTTTGAAAATAGAACTTGATGATGGAAGTGTTACAGTTGGGCAAAAGGACTTTGGATGGTTTGTATTTGACGTTTAGAAGCTTTAGGAACCAAAAGACTTGGAAACGCACGAGGGAGATGTGAGTTTCAAGTTTTTGATCAGATTATGCAACAATGGAGTTTTTGTGTGTGATTCTGAGTTCTAGGGAGTTTGAGGGCTTAAGCATGCATGTGTTATCTTGCAAATAATGTATGTATTTATCGGCAAGAGGTTTTGTGTTCTACAATAAGTCAGAATTTTAATTTACATGTTGTAAAACCTTTACTTGTTTTTGAAGCAAACATGACAAACATATCTTCCCAAAGCTTGTACCATGCTATTGTAGAGTGGTTGAACTTTAAACAAGCTTGATTCTGACTTGTATATGTTGTGTGTGCATAAGGATCCATTGAGAGGCTCAATAAGGGTTGACATTTGCAAAAGGATACTTTTCCAAAATGGAAGTCTTGCCTTTCTTCCAAAAATGGCAAGTTAACTTAGACAAAGCTTGGATTTAATGGATAATAGCCATAAAGTTTGTGTAATCTTCTGACTAAGGATAGATACACAAGTTAGAGGGCCTGGAAAGTGGGATTATGCAGCATGGATATGTGATTCGATCCATTGTGCATCACAAATTTTGCCTTGTAAAACAACTTGAAACCCTAACT